ACAACATTTGTCTAACGCCATTTATGCACGGAACTGTTTTATACAGCGTGTGTCGCATATTCGCGGAATAGTCAGTTTTCTGCGCGCTGTAATGTGAGTGAATGGCAGCAGGGCTGAGTCGCTACACATGTGGGAGAGCAGTGCTCATAGCCGCTCTCAGGCCCTTTATATGAGCTAGTTAACTATCCACGGTTAAATATAAAACTCAACTGTGCCTCCAGCTTGTAAAGAAAGGTGGTTTCTGCTTGGATATTTACTGATTTGATTGTTTGCTGCAGACTGAGCTGACTTGACAGTCATCAAATAAAGTCAAGATGCAGAACGACGCTGGTGAATTCGTGGACCTGTACGTCCCCCGTAAATGGTGAGTTTACGTCAAATTGAAGAGAAACGGTTTTTTTTAGAAGATGTTGTTAAATATTTGTTTATTTAAATAATAATATGAACTGTACGCACAGCAGTTGCTGCCTGTCTGTTCGTTTGTATTTAGCCACATATTTAAAGTTACGATACTGGTTAAAAATTTTGTGAGCACACGTTTATACAGCTTGAGAATATTAAACACTTTTTTTTTTTCTAGCTCTGCTAGCAACAGAATTATTGGTGCCAAGGATCATGCCTCCATCCAGCTCAACATTGCTGAGGTTTGACACTATTTTGACCATTACAAAACTAGTCTTTTTGTTTATATGTGTGTATACACGTTATTAAATTGCTTTGCGTGTATATATTAATAAAATGCAGTTTAATTATAGCAAATAAAATGTATGTAAATATAATTACTTGCTTTACAAAAATTTTAAAAAGGTGTATTTTCCATTGACAAAACTGTTGGTATATATTGTAAGTAACACAAGCCAAAATTGCCACTGCTAGATGCCAATAGGTATATTAGTCAACAAAGTTGTGATTTTTAATGAGCTGCTGCTTATGGTTTTTACAGGTGGACAGGGCTACAGGCAGGTTCACTGGACAGTTCAAGACCTACGCCATCTGCGGTGCTATCCGTAGAATGGTACGTTCAAACACGATTAAAGGAATAGTTCATCTAAAAATTAAAGTTTAGCCTCGGGCTATCTTAAGATGTCGATGAATCTGCTTCTTAATCCAAACCGATTTGGAGAGAATTAGAATTATATCACTTGCTCACCAATTAATCCTCTGAAGTGAATGGGTGCCGTCAGAATGAGAGTCCAAACAGCTGATAAAAACACAATCATACAAGTCCATCAGTTCACATCTTGTGAAGTGAAAAGCTGTGTGTTTGTGTTAAATTAATCAAGATATTGGAGTTGTGTGGACAAAAACAAGTTCATTTTTGTGTGAACTGTTCTTCTGCATCCATATATGTAGTGTACTAAAACGTGAAATTTGGAATGTGTGCATATAAACGTGAAAGCACAGATTCCGTTACATCTGGTGTGGTCTCAAGACATTTGCTTTGTCATCTGCAGGGGGAAGCTGATGACTCCCTCCTGAGGCTCGCGAAGAACGACAGCATTGTGGCGAAGTAAGCCCATGTCAGTAAACCGCTGTTTTTTTTCATCTCCTTCATTATTTTTCTGGCAGGTTTTAAATGCTTTCTGAAACCATTTGTGTTAAGTTTGTGGTTATGCAATAAGATACTTTAAACTTGCTGTAAGATTAAGATTTTCCTGTTCAGCAACTGATTTCTTTGTTCTTTAACCAGTGTCAGTGAGCATTTTTAAGTTAAGGTCATTGCACACTCAGTCCGAAATTTTTGCATGTTAAAAAATAAATAAAATAAAGCCAAAATTGTGTGCAAAGACCTTTACAGCGCAAATATGTCCTGTAAAATTCTTTGTAATGACACTGTTTTTAAGAGTCTCTTCATTTTAATAGCTGACAATCACAGAATTTCTACAATTGTTTATAAAATTTGTGGTATAATTGTAGACTCAGATGCTGAACTGTTTAAATCAGACTGTTTGTTACAGGTGGATGCTGATTATGCTTCTAATAATTGTTTTCTCTTTACAGGAATGCCTAAAAAGGAAGTTTCTTTGTAAAATAAAAATAAAATTGGACATCTGTGTTTGTGTTTTTAATGGTGTGTGTCCATGAGAATTATTAATGGCTGCTTGTCTCTTTAAGGGGCATAAATAATTCAAATTATGAAATTTGAAATGATCAATTTTCAGTTATTATATGATTGGATTCAATTAATTAACCATTATAGGAAAAGACGACAAGCTGTGGTGTTAAGAGAGCATGTGATCTGTATTTTGATTGGACAGGATTCAGGATTCACAAGATTCATTGTCAGTGTTGGGGAAAGTTACTTTTAAAAGTAATGCATTACAATATTGCGTTACTCCCTAAAAAAGTAACTAATTACGTTAGTTACTTTTTATGGAAAGTAATGTTACATTACTTTTGCGTTACTTTTTAAATATGAGCAGGGCTTGATTGTTTTTAATATAAGAAGTTTTATTTATAGCAAATGTAAAAGCCCTTTCACAGCAAAAAGTGTAATGAATAAACCTCAGGCTGAAGGAAAAGTAAATTCACGTCTGTACAGTAGAAAGCAGGAGAAGGTTCAACACTTCAGCAATAAAAAAAACATTGAAGCACAATTGTTAGTTTATCTAAAGTCATTTTTGCTTATTAGTATGGTTGAACTGGCTCGTCAAAGGTCAGCAGCAAAGACATTGGTTAATAAAATGGGATTAGATACATTTGTGTTATTTAACATGTTTAATTATTGCAGGTTTGTGTCATATTCTGAGTTTGCATTTCACCGTTTTAATTCATTTTGATGAATACTAAATCTGTTTTTTGTGAGTTGGGATGAGTGGGATGAATTAATGCACATTCACATTTAGTCTAGAACTACTGTAACATGTTCACACAGCGCACACAACGCCTCTGTACTTTCTGATTTCTCCCAATATGGGGACAGGAGACTTGTCAGTCAATAAATGGGAAAACCGTAACTGGCGTTACTTTTTTGAAAAAGTAACTCGGATATTTTCTTGTCAATTAAAAAAGTAATGTGTTACCCCCAACACTGTTCATTGTCTCTTATTATAAGTGGTAAATGATTTACATGTGCTACACTGAGTGGTAAAGCAAACTTTTGGATAAGTTTTAACTGCAATAAAGATAATAGCCAGATGGGGGTGCTAAAAGGAGGTGCTCAGTTTACCATCAGTTGACACAGTGTCTTTTATAGGAAAGTTGTTTTATCATTAAAGAATGGTTACTGTGGGGGGTTTTCTGATTTGCCCATCTATTTATATATATATATATATATATACACACACACATACATGCATATATAAAACATCAGTAACCAAAAATAACTATGTAAACACCAAAACGCAAGTTTTATTCTGATTTTCTTACATTTAGAGTAAGTGGTGAATAGTGGATATACTGTAGGCTATATAATGCATCTATTGACAGCCTCTCCAGGAGAAATCAAAACGCGCTACAACACTACAAAACTCCGCATCCTGAGGTAAAAATTCAAAATGGAAAGTTTTTATATTTAAAATACAGTTAGTTAGGCAACATCACACAACGTTTTCACCATTACGACTGTTTAATAGTTCTATAAACAGTTCAATAAGCAAATACAATGATATTAGGTCACTTAGGCTACATTTTAGGCGGAACACAGCGCACCTCACAGCAACCAGCCGATTCATTGCTGATTGATTCCGTGTTTTGAACGAATCGGTTGAGTCAAAGTTTCATTAGCCCATGCATTAACATCTCATGAATCTGCCGTTTGAACGAATCGTTTGAATGAACAACTCAATGACCCACTCATTAAATGCTCACTACTGGCACCTACTGGCGTTTTAATTTCGTTGAAAAGTATAATTTCCACCATCATTTCTTGTTTGTATATTCAAAAATATTTTAAATAATCTCATAATATTATTTATTGCAGTTGTATTTTTCAGTGTATGATTTAATTTAATAACGTATAGATAACCCCATTATTGTAATTGAATTTATAGATCAAATGTAAGAATTTGAAATGAAAGTATTAATGAGATTAGTGGGAAAATGCCCTCAGTAAAGGTAAAAAAATGCCCTTGGATAAAATTTAAAAAAAACACGCAGATTTATATGTCACAGCTGATGAGAATATTGCTTCAGAATAAATCATATTTGCAAAAAAACAAAACAAAACACAAGACACACACACACACACACGAGGGCCCTCCGTCCGGTAGAGGTCACGATAAATTCAAACATGCTCCGTGCGACTCGCGCTGCCATTGTGCGCCAATGATTCTGATTGCTTCTATGGGCTACAAAATGTTCGTCCTCTAGAGGGCGTTTGGTGGCCCAGAACGCCGAAAACGACAGTGCTGCATTAGAACAGTGTTTAATACTAATATCATCTATGATATAGATGAGCGCAAAAAGTTACGCCCTTTGCCACTGTTTTTAAATATTATTCGTTTAAAGTTTCTAATTGGGCATACTTGAAAGTTTAGTTGGAAATTGCAATTTGATTACCAAAAATAATAAGAGTTATCGTTTAAAGGCGATGTTATTCCATACCGGAAGTTTCTTTGGAGTGAAAACTGTTGCAAAATCCACTAAATGTATTGTTCAAAATAAGATTAATATTTGTATACTTTTGATTCGATTTCAAATAAATACATGTAAATTCACTAATAAAACCCACAACTTAGATTCTGAGACTCTAAAGCTGTATGCAAGTTGTTCAAAAATGTGACTTATTTATATTCCCTATTTTATATTTTAGTTTTAAGTTTGTTGATTATAATGTATAATTTTGCTAAAAAAAAAAAAAAAAAAACGCAGACGAAATCCAGTCATAAAAACAGAATTTACTGTATAACGATCAATTTTATGCATCCTTGCTGAATAAAATGTATAATTTTTCTAAAAAAAAAAAAAAAAAAAAAAACGTAAATAGTTCAATTAGGAGAGAGCCATCACATCGGACCAATTAGAAACAACATCCGGTACATGAAGCCCCGTCCATCTAAGGACTCGCGTTTCGCGTTCATTGCTATTCTAGCCGTGTACGTTATTTCTACGCTTCAATGGCTGTCGTCCTGCAGACACACCGAGGATTTGTGATCCACGCGTGGAAGAATGACTAATCTCATGCTACATGCACGGCTATTTTGACTGCATGTTTGATTCAGATAAAGGCTGCATTTCTTCTCTAATGCCGGGAATTATTTCCAGCTTTATTCGACCTCAAACAAGATAACCTCAAGCTGGAGGAGACTGCTGTCTGTTTGACAGCCCTCAAGTGCATCTTGATTTTTTTTATATATATCTTCTGTATGTAGGACTAATTCTAAATCCTAACTTATTTTATTTCGTCTACAATCGCCGGAGCAACATTTAAGTCTGTTTGTTATAATAATAATAGTTGCAAGTCTCGGACAGCTCGTCCTTTGCAAACTGAATCCGGATCGACGCCGCTTCGTTAAAACCCAATAGCAGCGTCTACATTGAACTTTTCTTTTTGTTCAACATTTCAGACTCGGATGCACACAGCGCCTGTATGGGAGTGAAACTCTCCCACACGGAAGTGACTTACACACGTTAGGCCAGTGATCGTTTGTGTATTTCTAAGTGAAGTTGTATTAACTTAAAATGATTCCTGACAAGGCACCAGGCGAGCATGTGTTACATGCTTCAGGGGACTTGAAGAAAGAAGCGCACATCCCCAGCTTTGAGAAGTACAAAGAGCTCTACATCAGATCTGTCGAGTCTCCTGAGGGTGAGTTTCATCGGGCAGGTCATTAACACGTTAAAAGCTGTTGTTTTGTGAGAAAAAGCGTCACTTGGCTGTGTCTCAAAGCATTGTGCAATTGATAGACAGCAGTTTTAGACATCAATAACCCACCTATGATGCTGTATTTTTAAGTTGTTTATTATTTGGTTGTAATCATTGCATTTAATCTGTTATTGTAGGATCTAACCAGCATAACTTTATTTAGTTGTTCGTGTATATTGAAGGTGTTATTGTTATTAGCAATATTAGCTAGTTGTTGTTGTTTTAATTTTAAATACTTTTTATAAAATAAACCATTGCTTAGCCCACATGCACTTCCTAGAGAAAAAACAACACCACATTCCCTTGTAGATATGCTTTAATAAAACACTAACCTCTGTTTTTACTAGTACAATTGAAATAAATTATAAATTTTAGTTTTTAATAATAACACGTTGTTAATGTGCTTGTTGTTGTTTTATCATTAAAATACTTTTTTTTTTTAAATAAAAAATCTTACTTTGCCCACATGCACTTCCTAGAAAAAAGCACCACATGCCCTTATGATATGCTTAAAAACATTACCCCGTTTATAATAATACAAATCAAATTTACGCCTTCTTTCTTTGCGTGAACGTTTGGGCGGCGTTATGCAAATCTTCTCACATCGTGACGTAGACATGTGGGGTGTGTTAGAACGAGCCGTTTTAGGTAGGTGTGGCTGACTCTTAACTTTTATAAAGAATATCTCTTTGGATTTGAGACTTTAGTCTTTGCAACTTTACAGATCTTCTTTATGCACCAAGAGCTTGTAACACTCCAAAGAGAAAGGAAAAATTGAAATCGCATCATATGACCCCTTTAACAAAAACTGTTTATACTAGTACAATTGAAATATAATGTTTTTAATAATAATAATAGTACATCATGAATGCATTTATTATTGTTGTATTATTTATTTATTTTTGAATTATTAAAAATCCTTACTTGGCCCAAATGCACTTCGTAGAAAAGACGACAACACGTTTTCATTTATTTTTTAAACATTACCCTTTGTTGATACTAGTGCCATTGATAGCTGGGAGATTTGTTTATGGTTTTGCTCTGAATCTCCGTTATGAATCAGCTGTGCATTAATGTTCCGGTGTGTTTGTCCTGTTGTGTCCAGAGTTCTGGGGAGATGTTGCCAAAGATTTTTTCTGGAAGACTAAATACACCGGGAAGTTTCTGGACTACAATTTCGACGTAACCAAGGGTGAAATTTTCGTGAAATGCATGGAAGGTGCCACAACCAACATCTGCTATAATGTTTTGGACCGCAACATCTATGAGATGAAACTAGGTGACAAAGTGGCTTTTTACTGGTTAGTATTTGTGAAGCATGTGGTTTAAATGTTTCAGTTTAGCCCGAAAGGTGTGCATGTGACATTATATTTTGAGAGTGGTGTTAGTACAGCACATGTAATACCTCTGAATCAACATTGGTTTATGCTCATGGTTCAGCTTTTTCAGGATTTCAATCTACAATTTTGCAGTAATCAGCCCAGTTCTTTAAGCACAAGGTTAAATCACAGTTGCATTCAGGTTGAGACCTGGATATTTGGCCACAAATTCCTTCCAGGTTACCTGAGTCAATATAATATTACTGGGCCTGAGCTATTAATACATTAACATGGCAAATGTTGACAGACAGGGGTAAGTCAGAGCAAAACAACTGAGATAAATTTAGACTCTCAAGCTGTTTTAGTAAATCATGGAAGCTTGAACCAGGTCCCGCCAATAGCGCTTCACCCAGAATAAGGTGCATATCTGCAGTATTGCATCTTCATAGCGTTTATTTCTTCATGTGCATATCTGTGCTGGATGCTTTCCATGCAGAAAGTCATGAGGATTTTTTTTGCCAGTCATTGTTCATTAGCAATTAGATCTACAAAAATAGCCTGTAAAGACTTTGTGTGCAATAAATGTTGTCTGGGGCTGTTGCTAGTTCTCTGCTTTCGCAATGCCAGTTTAGCAATTGTGAAGTTTTCAATCGTTTCTTGTTACGACACAAGTTCAAATCATTTCAGAATTCAGTTTGAAATGCTCAAGTGTGGATCTCTTCTGCTGTTGTTGTTGTTGTTGTTTGCCAGACTTTTCCTTTCTGTGTCAGAACGCGGTTCTATTTTAAGAATGTCAGCTGACATGCAAAGTCAAAAAAAAAAAGTTACTTGTTAACCTGTAGGGGACATTTAAGGGCACTTCTCACATAAGTGTTAGCAGAGGCTTACAGTAATTGAAACCGATCAGAAACAAATATTGAGCATTAAAATGTAAAATACAGATGAATCTAGGAGATGAACATTGAAACCGATCAGAAACAAATATTGAGCATTAAAATGTAAAATACAGATGAATCTAGGAGATGCACAAACATGTTTTGTCAACCTGCTAAGTGTCTGATGTTCAAACTTTGCTGTTGAACACAAGTGTCAATATACGTGACTGGTAATGAATGAACTATGTTAGAAAATATGTTTGAAAGTTTGGGGTTTTTGAAAGAAGTCTGTTACGCTCATCAAGGTTGGTCAAAAACACTGTAAAAACAGTAATAATGTGAAATATCATTACAATTGAAAATAAATGTTCTCTATATTTATATATTTTAAAATATAATTTATTCCTGTGATGCAAAGCTGAATTTTCAGCATCATTACTCCAGTCTTCAGTGTCACGTGATCCTTCAGAAATCATTCTGATATGCTGATTTGCTGCTCAATAAACACAGTTTTGGAAAACAATTTGCTATGTGATATTTTTGTGGAAGCTTTGAACAATTACTGTCACTTATGAGAGTAATATTTCTGGAAATTGTTTTGTACAGGGAGGGTAATGAACCTGGAGATGAAAAGACAGTGACATACAGAGAACTGCTTCAGCAAGTCTGCAAGTTTGCCAATGTTCTCAAGTCGCAAGGTAAAACACAAATGTTGTTGAACTGTTGGTATAATAGTGACCAGCAGCAGGTTAAAGATTTGACATTGATGTTGTGTATTAAGGCAATGTCCAATGTCGGTCCCTTTCTCTTTTTCTCTCTCTGACCTTGCAGGCGTGAAGAAAGGTGACCGTGTATCTATTTACATGCCCATGGTGGTGGAGCTGGTGGTGGCCATGTTGGCCTGCGCTCGGATTGGAGCGGTCCACTCTATAGTGGTCAGTCCTTTGTCATTTGCAAATGATTTCGTTTGTCTTCTCTTAGATCTTAGCTGTGTTGACCAACCGGCTTTTTATAAAACATGTCAAAACAAAGTACCCATACTTGTTTTGCAGGGTGTGATCTCTATCAGACTTTTTCGTTCAACAATTAGAGTTTGCAGAAAAGAGTTGGCACTGTGTCAGAAATGTAATGCATAAGAAAAACATCACAATATGTTGTTGCAACATTGTGTTTACTCTCATTTTTGTATTCACGACCCAGTTTGCCGGTTTCTCCGCTGAGTCATTGTGTGAAAGGATCATGGACTCTCAATGCTGTATTCTTATAACGGCAGGTAAGGAAAGCATGGCAAGAAAACCAGAAGTAATTTACTCAAAAGTGTGTAATCTTAAAGCAGCTAATCCCAAAGTTAATCAGCTGCATTTCCATTTACTGCAAAAGAGCGCAGCATTTCACATTGTTCACAAGTCTGGGGATTAAAGATGGTGTTAATCATATCACTATCAAAAGCTGTTTAGCCTGCGGGTGTGAATTAAAAAAAAAAAAAAAAATTTTTTTTTTTTTTTTTGAGAAGTGACAGGACACTAAATGCTGAGTTTGGCAAGTTTAGAAAGGAGAATGAGTTTTTGGAATAAATTTGACTCCGTAATCCATTTTGAAGTTGTTTTTAAAGGCTGGAAGATAAACTGATACATTAAGTTCACAGGCTCTTCACATAACAGTTCATTTACATACATATTGATCCATCTTGTTGCCAAAAATCAGGATATTTACATTATCTGATTGTAACTGTAAAAGAGATGTTCCACTGAAATGATTAGTCTGATATTAGACTTGTAGGTAGAGCTGACGTCTTTACGATTGCATTGAGGTTGACACAGAGTTCATGAGCTTATTAGAGGATTGAGAGTGGACTATAACCGTAAAATACACATCTCAACCATGATAAGACCAGCATCTGTTATCACCTAATAAAAGTTTACTGTCTTTGTCTTTTCAGGATTTATCTGAATATTAGATTTTAGGTAAATGAAAAGTTAATCAAAGTTGTTTTATTGTGTGTTTCTCTCTGTCTTTCCCAGATGGCTTTTACCGCGGTGATAAGCTGATCAATCTGAAGCTTATAGCTGACGAGGCGCTACAGAAATGCAGGGACAAGTATGATAACCACTAGTTAACTAGTAAAAATAAATAGTTGTGCAGTGCTTCTCATATGTGCACGTTCTCACAGTGGCCACTTCATTAGGCTCAGTTTGTTAAACGTGGACGAGCAGAAGTAAAGGACCATGATAGAAGATTGGGAAAATTATGCTTGTTCTAATACAGTTCTGAATCAGTTCCACTTAATAACTTTGCTCCCTGAATGTTTCTTTAAGAAAATATTTCAAGTAAGAAATACTGGACTGGACAGTGTTTGGAAAATGGCATTTACTGATCATTTTAGATTTCAACACAACTAATAACAAATCTATTTAAAATGACTTTTTTTTTTTTTTTCATTTTTAAAATAGATTCCTGTGATGCAAACCTGAATTGCCAGCATCATTACTCCAGTCTTAAGTGTCACATGATCCTTCAGAAATCATTCTAATACGCTGCTCATGAAATACTGGACACCTAATTAAGTGGCCACTGTAGCAGTGTATGTGAGTGTCTCTGTTTCAGTTCACTTAATTCTTTCGTGTCTTTTACTGTGTCAGGTCTTTCACAGTGGAGAAATGTATAATGCTAAAACACCTCACAAAAGAAGATGAGGCTTGGTCTGGGTCACTGTCGCCCCCAGCGAAACGCGCCTGCCCTGATCTGCTGGTGAGCTTAACCCCTGCACCACAGCTGTACAGCTAGCAGTCTTCACACTTTCCGTTTTTTCATCTTAATTTGTTTCTCGCTCATTTGGATATCTCCACATTGCTACAGGGGTTTTTGTAAGAAGTCCTTAAGCTCACCGAGGCTGCATTTATTTGATCAAAAGTACCGTAAAAATATTAATATTGTGAAATATTTTTACAATTTAAAATAACAGTTTTCTATGTTTAATATATTGAAAAATGGAATTTATTCCTGTGACAGAAAAGCTGAATTTTCAGCATCATTGCTCCAGTCTTCAGTGTCACATGAGCCTTCAGGAATGATTTGCTGCTCAAGAAACATCTCTAATTATTATTATTATTATTATTATCATCAATGCTGAAATGCGCTGCTTAATATAAGTTTTCCTCATGAGCACATGCGCTAACCACTAGGCCATGGCTTTGACACTGTCCTGAGGTTTGATTTGAATTTAAACTGTTTTTGAGTTGCTAATGATGCGTTTTTACACCCAAAGCCCTATGAGCTGACTTTCTAATATAGGTTAAAAAGCAGCCACATGCTTTGCGCATGAAAATAAGTAGGCCTTCATGTATTATAACACCTGAATCAATGGAGAGCTGTCTAGGAGTTCAATGGGAAATAGATTCAGATGAAAAAGTACTGCAGTATCCCTTTGTTCTGATTTTTCAAATGTTAACTCTTGTCCTGTACATCTCCTGTTTAGTTTTGCATTGTCCTGATTGTCACAGATATCTCTTGCTTATTTAACAAAGTTTGTTCACTGTTGTAAATCCATAAAGGCCTGGCGTGATTTCTCTGAGCTGTTGTGCTGAAGACCTTTGCAACAGTTGAATGTAATATGTGTGACATTCCTCAATGCAAGATGACCTGTTTTAAAACCATAATTCTAATAATGTCCGTTGGACTTTTATGTGAAATATCTTTGGCATTTCATTTCCTCCTTCAATGTGGGTCCATGTCTGTGTGTCCTTTTCCTCTTTCGGTGTAAGTAATCTCTCCATTAACCCCCTTTAGCAGGAGAAACAGAAAGAAAGAGTAAGGAAGGTCCGTCCCCCCCCACAGGTATTTCATGTCTCCTTTGTGCATAACTCGTTTTATTTAAACTCCTCCTGTCTTATTAACACGGGTTTGTGTGCTCATGGGCGGCTCTCTCGCTCTTTGGATGGCTCGAGACTTTTATTACTATCCTCACATTCTCACAGAACACAGTGTGTGTGTGTCTCTCTGTGTGTTTGCTTTTGCAAATGCAATTTACACATGCATCAGACTTGGCGTTCAACAGTAAGTTACGAGGCCATAATTTAAAGGCATATTCTTGCTTAGTTTTCAGAGCCATTATTGTCTTAATGCATAGAAAATGTTAAATAATTCTTCATTAAATCCAAAATTTTGAGATATCAACTGCTGTTCAGTATTATAACGTTTGTGAATGATGGTTATGATGAAGTGTTTACATTTGATTTGAGCGCCAATTCTGATCCATAAGCTGGCACTGAAAACCTTTTACTGTGCCTAGTAAAAGTACTGATAGTCACATTTCTGGTAAATGACTGGTGTGTCCTTGTATCCGTGTTCTAAATGATCTCCTCACAAACTTTATTGGTCCACTAGTGCACGATTTCATCACAAATGTATCTGGAAAGCTTTTATATCATTATAGTGACTAGAGACTAGCTAATAGCTCTCTCAAACACTAACTCTCTCCTATGAGCTTAAATAAACTCCAATGCACTGCTCACGTAGTGTTCCCTCAGTCTCTGAACTGCATGGAAAAACTAGATTTGTAGAGTTGTCTGTTACGTTCATGTCTCTTTTTGTTTGTCCGTTAGTGTTTTTGTGTTTTGTGTTATTACCTCAACCTGATCTTTTCAGATGCTTTCTCTTTCAGTTTTGAGAATGCCTTTGACTAAAGCAGATGGGCTTCTGCGCTCCATTCACTTTGGTTAGATTGAACTGAATGAATCAAATAAGTCTGACTGAAATAAATACAAACATGAGCCTCTAAATAATGTGTTACATGAATTATTTGCATACAGCACCCTTTACATTTCATCCTTTTGTTGTTTTCAAGTCATTCTGGAATGAGTGTGTTTACAAGATGAACGCATTTTTATCATCTCAATGACTTTTCCCCTTTAAAAACAAACGGAAAGCTCATTGTAATCTTAAGGGGTTAAAAAAAGTCCTCCTTTTTTTACTGTGTGATTAAGCAATCTTCTTGCCAACTAAAACTTCAAAATTATTTCTGTTAAATATAATAAGGCTGCAACTAAATATAAATATTAGATATGAAAGCTTGAACTAATGATTATCACTCTGATGATGTGTACTGGTGCACTGCAGACATTGGTTGGATCACCGGTCACTCATACATCACATATGGGCCGTTGGCCAATGGTGCGACCAGTGTGTTGGTGAGGGGGACATCCTGATAAGCACTTTTTGTGTCAGAATTTGCATTTTGCCCTGTGCAGTCACTTTCTTGTGATTAAAACATTGACTCATCTACGTAAGCATTTATTGTTGTATAATATGAATTTTTAATCTTCTATTTATAGTTTGAGGGTCTTCCCACATACCCGGATGTGAGCCGAATGTGGGAGATTGTTGATAAATATCACATCTCCAAGTTCTACACAGCACCCACCGCCATCCGGCTCTTGATGAAGTATGGCAGCGAGCCCGTTCAGAAGTAAGTTTGGTGTCTATTGTGTCTGTCCTAGATTTAGTACACTAGAGAGGCTTGCCACGGTCATGAAAAATGTGTAAAAAATCTGACCGTTTTAAAATTGTGATTTCTGAGCCTGAAAAAGTCATGGAAATTAATAAAGCCTAAAAAGTCATGGGAAAACAAAACAACTTATACATATAGGAAATGAACATTACCGTTCAAAAATTTAGGCTTAGTAAGGGGATTTTTAAAATAGAAATGAAACTTTTATTCAGCAAGGTTGTATTAAATTGATTAAAAGTGACTAGAGACTTTACCACTGTTACAAAAGAGTTCTATTATAAATAAATGCTGTTCTTTTTTATTCATTAAAGAATACTGAAAAAATCATATTACAGTTTCCACAAAAATATTAAACGGCACAACTTTACAACATTGATAATACGAAAAGTTTTTGAGCAGCAAATTAGTGTGTTAGAATGATTTCTGAAGGATCATGTGACACTGAAGCCCAGAGTAATGATGCTGAAAATTCAGCTTTGCCATCACAGGAATAAATTGCATTTTAAAATATATGAAAGTAGAAAACGGTTATTTTAATCTTAAAGGTGACATATCATGGAAATCTGACTTTTCCAGGTTTTAAGTTCTATAATCAGGTCCCCGGTGCATCTACCAACCAAGGAAACGTGAAAAAGATTAACCCAGTAATAGGGCTGCACGATAAATCGCATGCGATATTTAATGCGCATCTTGTCAGTAAAGCCGTTCTGTAATCAGCGGTAAATCTCCATCACGTG